ATTGAAAATCAGTGTCATTTTGGAAGCTATCATATTGATCTAGCATTTAGGTGCACTTTTTAATAAGCTGATTGATAGTAATGATACTAATTATCATAATGATGAGCTCACTTTGGACAGGTACTGAGCTAATGCCCCAACCATTCTCTGTGGCTAGTCACACTCTATGATTGTAAAGTTTGTTGGTTCAGTTTGACTTATAAATGAAGGTCTAAGTATACATAGTAATGATTTTCAACACAAAGAGTTATTTTCCCTTCTAAGAATAGAGAAATAACTCAGTAATTTCACAGGCAGAATTAGATCTGTAGATAAAATGAAATATCTAAAGGATGAAACTGTTATCACAATTTGGTTTTACAAAGTTCTAAGAACATAGTAAAAATGAATTTCAAATTTATTATATTCAGATGAATGTGGCATCATTTTCCCAATACCATATTAAGAATTCTTCATTGACTTAGTAGGAGTATAGCTCACCAAATAATTTACTGCTGTTATGGTTTACAAATCCTGAAAACACAATGGGTTATTATCAAAGTACTTGACTTCCCCATGATTTTTACGACCTGAGAAATCAGGGTAAACCAGAAGTTAATTACATTTTGGAAGAAATAGGAAAAAAATGAGAGAAACATCTCTATTCCAGGGCTACATCTTCATTAAAAATATTCTCCTTTTCAAAAATAGATACATTTTTCTCTTATTTGTCTCTTTTATTATTGTCTCAATTCATTTTACAAATAACTATTGATCTCTTCATAAGACATTCTGGATAATGTCCTGAGACTAAGGATTCAATAAAGAACAAACAGATATTTCCTACAGTACTATGCTGAGTGCTAAGAAGTACAGAGAGTGCTAACAATAATCAGGGGACTTGACCTAATACTGAATAAATATTCATGCAGGATCAGCATTTGAATTAATGTTTGAATGATGAACAGGAGTCAATTAGGAGAAGAAGTAAGAAAATGACATTCCAAGAGAAGAATGTCTCTTGCACTGAAATTAAAGGACTAAAAAGATCTTGTTGAGTTGCAGTAACTAAAAGATTATCATGGTTAGAGATCAGAAATTAGAAAGGAGAATTGAGTGAGTTAGGACTTCAAGTACACGGTAACAAGTCTTGTTAAAAATGTTGGCTTTTTATCCTAAGGTAAGCGGTAGTGGTCTTCTGATTTGAAAAGATCACTCGGATTCCATGGTAGATAATGGAATGGTTGGAGAAAGGACTGAAGTGGATACTGATGCTGCAGTCAACCCCTCAATAATCAGCATAACTGCATGTAAGCTATTCTAAAAGTTAAAATTTCAACTAATAGACATGCTTGATGTTTTATTCTCTAAGAAAAGCTCTGTAACCTCTTGCACAAAAAAAAAAAAAAAAAAAAAAAAAAAAACCTTTGCAGGAAAGCTGATATCCCATTATAAAACCCCTTTCAAATATCCTTTTTGAAGCTTGAAAGCTTATGTCACTAATGTTTATCTTTTCACTCCTGCTGGGGGTAAAGATATATGTTTACCACTACCTGTTTACCAAGGGCACTCTCCTCTACTCCTCTGCTAACCACTGAAAATTCTTAAAGTGGTTCTCTGGTTACTCTCTTATAAAAATGAAAGAATGTAATTCTGACATATTAAGAAACTAATATGACGTGGTCCCAGTTCCTGGCTTGTGATTACATTCTTTGCTTACATTCTGCAATGCATTTGTTATAAACAATAAAGCCTGGCTTTAAATTAAGAGTCAGTAGTCTTTTTACCATACTGCTGGAGGGGAAATAGGAGATTTTGGTCATTTAAGAAAAGGATTACTAGATAGTAGAAGTAGAAAGAGAAAAGAACCCTGTAACCCCAGAACTTTGGGAGGTCGAGGAGGGCAGATCACAAGGTCAGGAGATCGAGACCATCTACTAAAATACAAAAAAAATTATCCGGGCATGGTGGCGGGCGCCTGTAGTCCCAGCTTCTCAGGAGGCTGAGGCAGGAGAATGCGTGAACCCGGGAGGCGGAGCTTGCAGTAAGCCAAGATTGGCCACTGCACTCCAGCCTGGGCGACAGAGCGAGACTCTGTCTCAAAAAAAAATAAAAATAAAAATAAAAAAAGAAAGAGAAAAGAACATAGTGAAGAAATAGTTAGAAGGCAACAATCTAAAGTATTCAGTGCTTGATTTTTCCTGGGAAATGTAAGAGAAGAGGGTTTCAAACGTGGGCACCAGATTTCTGAACTGCAGGACTGAATAAATGGTAATGCTAGTTCCTGAGTTTGGGAGTACTTATAAAAACAGGAGCCAACCATGCTAAGAACTGAGTTAAGAGCATTCCAAAAAAGTGGAAAAACACAAAGAGTGCACAACAGAAAATAAAAATACAGGGCATATTCAATAAAACGATGAAAGACCAGAATACCTAAGGCTATGGGATTGTCAAGGGAAAAGAATAGAACTGAGGCTGGAGAGCTAGGTTCATATCTGATAAGGTGTGGTTTTGTAGGCTACCATGAGTAGTTAGAATTATTCTGAATGCAATAAAAAATTAAAAGTTTTAAGTATTAACATTTTAATTGTACTTAAATTATATGAATATAATGTTGTGGTCTTTAGTAAAATGAAGGGAGAGAGTAAAATAATGGATATAGGAGACCAGTTGTAGGGTCGTTTTGGAATGCAAGGAAGAGACCATTGTGACCCGGATAGAGGGATGACAGAGGATACAAAAGAAGTGCAATAAATCAAGAGATATTTTGAAGATACAATTAATAGTTCATGCTAAGGTTTATATGAAGAGATAATGTTGTTGAGCTAAAGAGAGAGAAGTCAGAAAACCTCCTAGGTTTCTAAGCAGTAAGAAAATAATGTAGTAAAAGGTTTATGCAAGGAAAAAAGTGAAGGCTCCATTTTGAATATGTTAATTGTAAGATGTCTGTGGAACATGGAAATGGTGATAACAAGCATCTGATGGAAATATGAGGCTGAAGTGCAAATTCTGAATTGAAGATACCTAGGTATTCACCGAAAATATTTCATTAAAATTCATGGAAATGAATTAAATCACCTAGAGAAGAGAAGATAGAGAAAGATGATAAACAGATAAAAGTTAGGACTTGGATGGAACAGAATAAGATGACCCAGTTAAAAAAAAAAAAAAAAAAAACCTGCAAAAGAGCAATCAGTGAGACAGAAGGAAACCAGGAGAGTAGAATACCACGAACAAAGGAAGCTAGAAAGAGAAAGTGACCCACCATCTTGAATATTGGTGTGAAATGGTTTAAGGTGAGGATAGAGAAGAATATTGGACTGGTAACATAAATGTCATTGATGATGTTGATAAGAGCATATTGAATGAAGTAATAATGGTGGAAACTGGACAGTAGAGAGATGCACAATGACGGAGGCTGAGGATGTGGAGACAGTGTGATAAAAGGAGATATTTAATTAGGAGAGGGAGCAAGAAAATGAGCAAATAAATATACCTAGAAGAATATCTGAGGGCGGTCATTGATGTTTTTAGTTGGAAGACTGTACTACATGTAATCTAGGATGACTAATGCAGAAGAAAGGGAAAGACTGCTAAATCAAAAGAGGGAGGATAATCCAAAGTCCTCGAAAAAATAAAAATGGAATGGTATCATTAACATAAGCAGAGAAAATGGCCTTTCTTAGAATGAGGTGTACTTTCTTCGTTATAATAGGAGAAAAAGAGGAAAATCATAGGGGAAAATGCAGGACAGCCCTCCAAGTGGCCTTGGATCAACCCAGTTTTTCCCCTTCTCTCACTTGTGCTTCTCAAGAATAGCTCTAGAATGAGCTGGGAATGCAACATCCTGAGATAAGGCTCAGACTCTCTTACTGTGTCTCTTAGAACAGCTTTTCTTTGAGTGTTTTAGCCCAGTGATCATGTGATGCCTGGGTTATAAAATACAGGGCAGGCTTCTTTCAAGGGTTCCTCAGCTGTGGTACAAATAGGGCATGTGCAAATGAGACTTCACCACCCTGGGCAAACTGTGTGAGTCTTGGGAGGCTGGCTCCTCATGAACCCCAGGCTGCTGTGTCCCTTGATGCCTATCTGTAAGCAATAAACCTGCTTCATGCAACTTTTTGCATGTATGTTCTAAATCACTGGAAATTCAAGTAGTAGAAACTGCAGTCCAAGATGCAGTGAGCCAAAGTGGTACCAACGCATAGTGAATCTGCTTTGTGGCAGGAACACTTTACAGGTGAAAAGAATAGACAGTTTGCGAGTTGTGGCCTCTATGCTCTCATTTAAGTGTAAACAAAACAACTGAGAGTTATAAGGAAACCTAGATGAGAGACCTAATGAATTCCATATTTAAAGTCAAGATGAAGAAGAATGAATAGGTAGAGAATTGGGAAGAAAACCCAGACTACAAGGTGTCGTGAAAACCCTAAGTAAATATCCATATTGTAGAATAAGAAAAAGAACAAAAAGTCATAAACACCAAGTCTAAGCAGTGAGAAAAAAAATGAAAAAGAAGAAAGAATATAAAGTAGGAGAAGATTCCAGCGAGCTCAATAGAATTAAGAACTGTAGATTGTATAATTTAGGTTTCTTCTATTGTTTAACGTTATTAACATGAAAAGTACTTGCATATTATAAAAACCATACAACCGGGCTAACTTTGCATGGGAATCAACATTAAACCAGCAATTCCTAACTAACTGACAAAAGCACTCTTTGGAAGAATTACAGAATGACAGAAATTAAACGTACACAGCTGGATAAATGATGCTAATGACAACAAACATATTGGTTAAGATGCTTTTCTTAGTTCATACGTTAAATAGGTTAAAGTGAGTCCTCTAAAGCATAACGATGTGCTGACTTTAATTATCTTATAATTATTTAATAATTAAGTGGGATTTTCATACTGTTGATCTTTTTCTGAATTTTTCAAGTTGACTACTAATTAGAGTTTTGACTAAAAATTAATGAAATATAAATATTACTGTATATGTAAGAAAAGAAACACACTTGGCTATTGTTTTGAGGATATGCATTTAATTTTAAATTTTATAATTTAGATTCAACATGAATTGCAATAAATGGATCTTCAGCAGAGTTACTAATAGAAAATTGAGCTTTGCCATCATTAGAAACGTAGATTTTAATGCCTGTGCAATTGCCATCAATTTTATCTCCAGAAATGACATCACAGTATGTGCCAGCAGGAAGACCAGTTTGCAAAGTTAAAGAAAATGACCTGGAAAATAAAATTTAAGATTGAACTTCAATACATTGAAAAACAGGAATACTGACTAACATAAATAAACAGCATAACTTTATGTTGTAGAATCCTAAGCAGTCAAGGTCTCACTAAGAAGAAAATCCATATGCCTCTCTAGTAGTTGTAAATAGCTTTCTCAGGACCAAAAGTCACCTTACAGCAAACAGAGCAAGTTCATGGCCATGTGGTGAAAACATTACCAAAAAATCAAAGTTGAAGAATATCAGTGAAGATTGGCAGGAACGGTCACACTTTGATAAAAGTGCCACCTTAGTAAAATCAAATTTGTTCTCAACTGAACTTAATACCAACTACATTTAATAATTTCAAGGGTACTATTTTTTTAACCTCCTTTTTTCCCCACGAGGATAAAAAGAATTTGGGGTGTACATACAAACAATCTAGCATTTCTATGAAGAAGTGATTTTTTGAAATATAAAGCTTTTTCACAAAAATTTTTTTTGATATTTTCATCCACAAAAGAAAGAAATTAAAGAACTAGACATGGGCTTTTTTGGCAGGAAAGAGATCGACTTGATTTATATATTTATGTATTTATTTTTCATCAGTGAAATATAATTTATACTAGAATGAGCTAAGTATGAGTATCAGTTGGCCTTGGACAGGGACAATTCAACTGTTTGCAAGGAAGTCTTCTGAGCTATATGTTAGGGAATCATTTATACCACAGGCAAAGGATATAAGAATCACAGATGAAAGGCCAATAATGAGAAGTTTCAGAACTAAAACTCAAATCTCCTGAAGCAAGTCATTAACCACAAGATACATATTATTTATACATACACTTTAAAAATGTTGTTTGTCACAAGGAGAAAGAGAAGTGAAGAAAGTATACCAAAACACTAGGTAGAGCAATCATTGAGGAAAAGAGTTAGAAATAAAGATACTTTAGTACTGAGGCAGCATTTTTCCATGATTAAAAGAGCAGGACTACAAAACACGTTCTTTTAATGATTTCACAATCCTTATATTAATTACTTTGTGTATTTTGTGGCATGTGTAGGTGAGCATATGCATGTTAATTCTATGTATGTATAAGATACTGCAAGGGTACACAGAAAGGACTCTGCTTACAACAGAAAGCCCTTTTGAAAAGAGGAGAATGAAGGAGTAAGAACCATCATCCTTTAACTTCTGCCCATTTTTGATCTCTATTGTCTTCTTGCTCCACTGACTAAATGATTTTTCAAATATGATAAAAGTAAATGAATAGAAAAGAAAAGAATGAACCAAGAACATAATGATACAAAATATTATTTTTAATTGATATTTACTTACCAGTCATCATTGTTGAAAACAATGAATCCTTTGTTTCCTCTTCCAAAAGCCACTTGGTTGCTCCCATTATCATACCAGTTTGTAAAAGGCTCACCATCCACTACATTGCGGAAAGCAACCATGTTCCTACAAACACAGTAACATAAAAAAGTTGATATTCTTAAACTTCAACTGTTTTAAATAAAATGCTAAAGAAAGTTTCCTATTAGAGGACATGTCAAAATAAATATTCTCACCTTATTTGGCGCCATCGATGTTCACAGACCCAGTCATTGCCACAAGTAGTGTCTGGATTAATAGTAACTTCTTTAGTTACTCCATTATTATTTGGTGGCCCAACCCAGTCATTAACATCCTTAATTGGGGGGGGGGGGGAAAGCCAAATTTTAACATATATGTATTTACCTTTTCCTTCTCCTTTACACCAACCCAACCTATCCTGTTATTTGTGCCTCTGTAGTCAGTGACTTGATCTAGAATCCAATGCCTTCATTAATTTTTATAGCCCTTTACTGGGTCTTCATCATCTCTCTATTCTCTGATTCTCTTTTATCATATTTCAAACAAAGGTAACAAATTTTTGTCCTATGCTTTTCATTCCAAGGACCCGCAAAGGCTTCTTTGCTCTGTCACCCAGGCTGGAGTACAGCGGCATAGTCATAGCTCACTGCAGCCTTGATCTTCCAGGCTCAAGCGATCCTCCCATCTCACCTCCCAAGTAGCTGAGACTGTTGGTGCGCACCAACAGTCTAATTTTTTTTTCTTCTTTTTTTTTTTTAACGAGGTCTTGCTAGCTTGCCCAGATTTGTCTTGAACTCCTCAGGTCAGGTGATCTTCTCGCCTGGTCTCACAAAGTGCTGGGATTACAGCTGTGAGCCACTGCACCTGGCCTGCAAGGGCTTCATAACATCACTGTAAGCCATGCAATGTCATTGAAATGGGCAGGGCATTAGTACCAGAAACACCAAGATTAAAACACGGGCTCTATTACTAGTAGCTAAGAAAACTTAATCAATATACATAATTCACTGTGTCTCAGTTTTGTCATTTGTAAAATGGGAATATTGTTTATCTTTGCTCTAAAAATTAAGTAGTATATCTGAAAATGCCTTGAACATGACATGTGCTAAATAAATCTTAAAGTCCTTCATGCTTCTTTTCAGATAAATGTACAAAACAATACATCTGAACATTTTTTATTAATTAACCACATTTTTAATATTATGTTTTTCTGATTGACACTTTAAAAAATATTAATTAAAAAAAAAAAACAGAGTAACCCTAGGAAGGTTTTCAGTGTTGACCTTAGAATCATGTCATATGGTGAAAAGTGAACAATACTAAGAGTTTTTAGCATGCAGCAGTCCTGGAAAAGTGGAAATGTTATAGTAATAGGAAAAATAAAAATACTCTCTGACTCCTAACGTCAGAAATAAGACCAATTAGTAGAAATTATAAGAAGTTGGCTCGATATAAAAGTACACCTTCTAAATATTAAAGCTGTTTAACAATAGAATCAGTTGCTGTACAAAGTAGCGGACTTCTCAAACTGAAAGGAATCTAAAAGAAGCTAGCTAGATATCAGTGTGACTCATAGGAAGGAGGAATTTCTGCTTTAGACATGAACTCTCTGATGCTGTTTCTGAATCCTTTAGTTTAAAAGAAAACCTTCTACTAGCTTTCCAAATATCTTTACACTCTTATTTCTCTGTTCCTTTTTGAAACTACTCATCAGATTAATGTCTTCACCACATTCCCAAAAGTTTTTCTCATTCTTACCTTTCCTGGAATGCTCTATACATTTCTGTTCTTTAGTACATATAGTTTCCTTCCTCTTATAGGACACTTTGCCTATTTAACTTAGCTCAACTGACTCATTTCTTTGTATTCCATATAACTTTTTAAAAATACTTAACAAACACGTTGTTCTCACTACGGGCAGATGATGTTTTAAGTTCTCTACAAGTGTTGGCATATATAATCTTGCTATCAACCCTGAGGTAGATACTTATTAGAAATATGTATTTCACTCCCTGTGTCTAGCTCTTATTTTTAAGTGTCTTTTTTTTTTTCTTTTTCCTGTTGGCTAGGGGGATGTTTGTCATATCTCTGAAACAGCTTGCATACTCTTTTTCAATGAGGAATATAAATTTTACTCCTTTAATATAACCTGCCTAAAATCAGAGCCCTGTGTCAGGTTTACACATAATTAAATATTTGTTGAATAAATACATAATTAATAGTTGTCATATTAAGGTAGAACAAGATTGCCTCCTTTTTCTTGAGAGAGGGATATTTTGAACAACTCCAAAACTTACTTTTCCATTTTGAAAATTTCTTGGCCAACGGTAGCTTGACATTACTCGTGTAAATCCATAAGGATGAGCAAGCATAAATCCAACTGCCATTTTATACAGCCTGAAAGTTACATAATTATATTATCATAGAATATCAGAATATTCTTACCATCATTAAAAGATGTGTTAAAAAAATAGAGAACTTTGTGTTCTACCTGGCGTCCCAGAAGGTAAGAATAGAGGCTCCTCCAGCCCCATGTCCTCGTTGATTGTCATGGTTATCCACAAAGACAAGTGCTCTGTCAGAAGGCATGAAACCCCAACCTTCTCCCCAGTTCCTATTTTTGAAAAATAAGATATACATTGATGTATCATTTCACAATCGTTTTAGAGTAACTTAACTGTGCATCTCTTTCTGCAGGGCATGGCATCTGAAGATTAATTCTCTCTCTAATTAAATGGTTTTTCTGGAAGATATATATATATTTACACACCATATACATATACACACATACCATACACTCACATCTGTAATCTATGTATATATTCCATATTTGTATATACATGTTTGGAATACTTATGTTCATATTACTAATATAAGATTTCTGATATTTAAAAAAGTTCTTTTAGAGGTTTCAGCACTTTATAATTTAGAGGCACTCCAGAAAGATCAATATCCATATCACATTGTACAGAATGTCAAACTAGATTAAAATAAGGCTTCAATACTGTATTGTTATCATATACATATTTTAACATTTTAAATTAATATATGTAAATTCTACAGTATGGACACGTTGTGCATACTTTGTAAACGATAGAATCATTTTAAAAATAACCCGGCTTTAAAAGATTATATGCAAACATCAGTCAAATCTAGCCTATTCATCTCGTACTTGGATGAAAATTCCTAGGGAATGTTTAGGATTCTGAGGCATGCTGTCTTGTGACAGACACTCTAAATACAAAAGATGATTGATTTGAGTTTAGGGCACTAGAATACTTATCATTAAAAATTGACTCCTTGATAGTTGTCTGAATAAGAATGATCCAGAACATAACTCACACTGGAGTAGTATGACTAATAGATCTATGAAATAATTCAGGGGAAAAGTTGTATTTATTTACTTTAAGTAAGACATCTTCTCTCCATTCCACTTGCGAATAACTGTGCCGAGTTTTGCACCATACTTGAATTCTGTCACCCGGCCATTTCCAAAGTACTCACTGCTTTTAATTGGCTCACCACCCAGGTCAATTACCTAGTAGAAATTTAGGAAAAATAACATTTTGCATGAGGACTTTAAAGCATTTTAACCAATAAGTTAATATTATATAACAAATAGCTTTAAGCTATTATTTGTTATTGTTTTGTTTTGTTTTTTTGGTGACAGGGTCTTGCTATATCGTCCAGGATGGACCCAAACTCCCAGCCTCAAGCAATCCTCCTGCCACAGCCTCCCAAAGTGCTGTGATTCATGAAATCACAGCACGAGCCACCACACCCAGTGCTATTTGTTATGTAAAATGCTCAAAATGGTTTTCTTATTCTTATTATCTCAACAGGTAATATTCTTATATTCCTTTTTTGATACAGTATACACTACAATATTGAAAGACACATAATGTCAAAGTTACCTGCTGTCCTGTGAGAATACTTACCGAATTTTTAGTCTTGTACATCAATGATAATAATAAGAGCTCACACTAATACAACATTTACTATCTGACTGACATTTCTTGATAAATATAAACTCGTTTCATTTCCAAAGAAAATAAAGATATAACTATTATCAGTATCCTACATTCTGTGTACTCCATAAAACCTGTTGTGATAAAGAATTAGATATGCTGTATCTGAAGAAGAGGAGGTTAAAGAACAGTGTTTTACATAAATGACTCAGTCCTTATCCTACAGAAATTGCATGTTTAATTGAATCTGCCATTAATTTTCTAATGAATAAGATGACATTTTATATGCATATATGCATTGAATGTACCTCCTGGAAAATGAAAGGTTTACTTCCTTGAGGAAACCAGTTACTGTTGAGATTATGCAGTTTGTCCAAAATTGCTTTTATGTCTCCAGGCCACATGTGCTTGGAAGCATCAAGTCTGAACCCTGCAACTCCCATGTCAATGAGTTTGTTCATATATTCGGCAATCTTGGAACGCACATAATCCTTCCCCAGCGCAAGATCAAGAAGACCAACCAGACGACAATCTCTGACCTGTTGAGGTAAAAATGTTATGACTGATTCATAAAACCTCACTTTTCACCTGAGAATCCATTTGTTTATTCATGTATTCAGTAATTCCTCAATAGATGTTTTATAGGGACTTCCTTGCATTAGGACCTGGGGATGCTCACATTCTACTATAGATGTATCTTTGAAATATTTTGTAGTAGAAAATAGAGAATTTAAGAAATAAAGTTGATGAGCTTTTGAATTGGTTGGAAGATTTTTTAAAGTGAGCTTTTAAAAGTGTGTATTGATTAAAACTCTTAAATTAATATTTAAAAGTTTTTAAATATGGATTTGAGTTTCGTAGTCAAATTTGTTAACCTGTGTCCCTAAGAGATCTAAATTAGTATTTAAACTGAAGCTCAATTAGCTACATGTCTATAATTAAAGGCATATATCACTCTTTATTCAGATCACTGTCTTAAAAAAAATTACCTGAGTAGCATCATTATAGTTCTCGATATCTCCACTTGAAGTTTTACATTTACCATCATTAAAATCCCATCCAGAATACGGGACTGCTGGAAAGTCCCTACTTCCAGGGTTGAAATAACTTCCACAAGTACTGCTTGTCCCTGCACTCACGGCATTACCACACATATGATTAATTACAGCATCCACATAAATACGAACCTAGAAAGCAAAGTTTCTAGTTCAGTGTGACGTACAGAGAGGTAGACGCTTAAAGCATTATTGATTAAAGTTTATAGTATGTAAACAAAACTCCATAATATTTCATTATATCTTACAACTATTTTCCTACATGATAAAAAGTCAACTGTGAAAGGAAAGTAACGTGAACTAAACACCTACATTCATTCTAGACACTTGGTCAAATATTTAGAGTAATGATAAATTGAGAGAACCAGAAACTACCATAAATAGGAGGAAACGCAAAAAGCCCATTTCGGGGAGACAAAACACAGATGAGACTGGAAAGGTGACTGTTTTGGAAATGTCAGTCGGTCACCAGGAGAAAGCCTGTACTCTCTACTTAGTGTTTGAAGACAAATAAGGTAGATATTAGTCTCAAATTATGCTGCTCATTAAATAGAGAAGCGAGGTATTCACCACAACAAAACCCAGGAATTACTGATGGAGACACAAGTCACCTAAAAATTATAGCAAATATTGTAACTGGAATTATAATTCCTAACCAGAAAAATCTTTCCAGGATATACGGATAGTTATAAGGGTTAAAATTTGATGTTTTGCTTTAGAAGTAAATTCTGCTCTAATCTTCAACTTATCTCTCTAGTAGATAGCACATACACAAATATTTACAAAAGTTGAACATAAGGCAACAGTTAATTTTGAGTTTTAAAGTATGAAGTAAAATTTTTTAAAAATATGGAAAACTGTCTACTTAAAAGGAGCAAGAAAGAAGAGAGAGAAATCATTTTCCTATCTGTTATTTTAAAGGAAACTAGAATTCACTTACCCCAACATTGTTACATCTAGTCACCATGTTTCTAAATTCATCTTCATTTCCAGATCTTGTGCATAATTTATAGCTAACTGGTTGGTATCTTTCCCACCAAGGTCTTGAAGGATTGTAAATTGCAACATTTTCATTTGGTGGAGAGACCTACAAATGTAACAGTCTTAATAAGCAGCAAATTGTGTCTTACTGTATAACATTGGATGTTCTAGAAACTAATCAATAATATAAAAATATTCTTGAATCTTTGCATATACAGCTGTCTCTTGAAAATATTAACAGCACATTGGAGGATTCTCCTTAAAGAAAGATTATCTCAGAAACAAAATATAAAGTTGCCAACAGTACTACATTGTTTTTTCCTCAGAAAACTGTTTTACTTAGAATACTTACCTGGGAAGTAAAATGTTGCCCAAGTTTCAAACATCAGATCAGAACACGATTTACTACAAGCACAGTGAATTCTGCAATTTATACTATGAATACCCACCTGAACCCCACCAAACCCCTTGGGAGCTAAATATCGCTCACATTCAAGAGCAATATCCGCCCATCGCCATTCAAACAGATGAACGATAGATGTCCGTCCTTGTTGTGTATTTGGGGAATACTGAGCCCAGCAGAACCCAATGGTTAAAAGCAACAGAAAGAACTTCATTTTGCTGTGAAGTTGTCAGTGTCCTTTCCAGAAACTATTTATATTCTTGTAAGAAGCACATTTTACAAAGTAAATATTAACATTAATAAATACTTGAGAACAAACTGTTTATTCATAATATGAAAAGGATTATCAATCATAATCTTAACAAGTGAAGAAGCATAAAATGTCTCTCACGGAAATAATCTAAATGACCTTTTCGAATTAATGTTTTGTTTTGTTTTGTTTTCTTATATCAGCACTTTTATTTTTCCTTACACAATGGTGTGTTACTGGGCCCTAATGTTCACACATCACAGTAGAAAACCAAAATTTGTTATCATCTCTTTAAAGATTGAGAATTGCATACAAAAAAACCTTTAAATAAATTAAAAAGAGGACTACATTTACAGCTATAAATGTGAACTGCTTCCAACTCAAGGCAAGTAACAGCCCACAGGGTTCTGGCAGACAACATAAGCTAAGAAAGGAAACTGGGTCCTATGGCTTGGACTTTCCAACCCTGACAGATTGACAGGACAGAAACAACTGGTTCAGGAGTCCTTGTCAGCCTCTAGACAAATCCCAGAACACTCAGCCCTGACACATTAATAACCTGCACAGTTCAGAGACTGCTGGCCATGCAGACTCACCAAGCCACAGATTTGTCTTCCACAAGCACGTTTTTAGCCATGAAGTGACCAAGCCACATGTACTCAAGACTGAAATCCAAGATATGTACAGATACCAAGGGGAACAGTTAACTTGAATGCAAGCTCAAAATCAGCAACCATTTCTACAGTCCAGTGCTGATATCAGATACAAGCTTCAAGGATAACTTCTTTTCGAAGGCTTATTCCAGTTTGGTGATGCCAGCATGAGGTGTATTTTTTAATTAACCTGATCAAATGCACATATGGAGAACACTTTCTTTTTTTAATTGTCTATATACAGTCAGAAGTTGAGTCTTTTAAAGGATTGAAATAAAACAGAATATTCTAATTGGACTAAGATCATATAGTATGTGCTTGTTAATATGAACATTTATTTCCCAATATTTTGTTGTTATAAGAAATGTTATAATGAATATCTGTACACATGTTTACACATGGGTACATAATTCTGCAGGCTAGATAAACATATGTGAAACTTGAAGCATTTTTTATATTTCATATTATGCAAAATTGCACTCACAAAGGTATCAATTTTTACTCTCTAGTAGCAATATACTATAGATCCTTTTGCCACACTCATACCAAAAATTAATATTTTCATAGGTCTAATTTTTGCCTAGTAGATTAAAAATGATTTGATTTTTCCCAATTACTCATGAAGCTGAACATCATTTCACATTTTTTTGGCCTTTGGAGTTTTGTCCTGAAATTTGCTTCTTCCTTTTCTCATCTAGTTTTGCTTTAATTGTTATTTTTTATCTTACTGAATGTTTGGAGTTCTTACGTTGTTATCGTTTGTCATGTATTGCAAATATATTGTCCTAATAGATCACTGTTGTTTTTTGAAGTCTTTCTATTGCAAAATTAAGTAATCATGGATGCTGGTAAGAATTAGGACAGTGCCAAAGGTATGCCTGCATTATTATTTTTTGTCCAACTACAGTCATGCATTGCTTAATGACAGGAGTATGTTCTGAAGAGAAGGCCCTTAGGTAATTAAGCCACCGTGCAAATGTCATCGAATGGACTTCCGTAAACCTACATGGCATAGCCTATTCCTCCTAGGCTACAAACCGGTAAAGCATGTTATTGTAATGAATACTATAGGCAACTGTAACACAATGTACTGGTGTATCTAAATATATTTAAACATAGGAAACTTCCGATAAAAATGTGGCATAATAAACTTAACTGGATCACCATCATATATGTGGTGCATGGCTACATTCACTACGCAAAAGGTTTTAATTTTTATAGTGATTATTTTTTTAACTACAGTGGTTCCTTGTCCCTCCATATCCATGAGGAATTGGTTCCAGGACCCCCCATGGATACTTAAAGCAATAACTGCTTGAGTCCTTTATATAAAATGTAGTATTTGCATATAACCTTTACATCATCTCAGATTACTTATAATAACTAATGCAACACAAATGCTATATCAAACGTTGTTATACTATGTTGTTAAGAAAACAATGACAAAAAAAAGTCAATGCATGTTCAGTATAGATACAACTATCCTTTTTCTTGTCTTATCCTTAGATCTTGTTTAATAAGATTAGATTTAAGACTAAGTGGTAAGGAGAATGGGAATAGAGACAGAGGAACAATGTATTAATGACAGCTTTTTTGTTGTTGTTGTTGGGGTCTCCCTATGTTACCAAGGCTGGAATGCAGAGATGCAATCATCGTTCACTGCAGCATCGAACTCCTGAGCTTAAGTCCTCCCTCCTCAGCCTCCCAAGTTGTTGGGATTACAAGCATGACCTATTAAGCCCAGCAGTGGTAGGGTTGTTTTGTTTTTTCTCAAAGTTTAATGTCATTATTCTTTTATATTGAAATATCTTTTAATGCTTTTTTTGAAATATAACTGATTACTTAGAACCCAAATTCTGGAAACCTTTGAAAAAATTTATTCCAATAGTCTCTTTCACTGTTAACATTCTCTGATCCTATGACTTATTCTTCTCTTGACTTTCTACATCCTAATGGAAATATGAAAATCAAAGAGCTTAAGGAAATTTGTGGCTGTATCCATCAGGACAGAATAGGTTACTCTGCAGTAATAATAATAATAAAAAAAACAACTAAAATTTTTCAGTGGCTTACAATAACCAAGTTTCTCATATTCAACTAGGATCAACAAAGGCATTCTATTAGTCCTTTTGTAATGTCACAAAAACTTCACTTTGACACATGCTTTAGCAATCAGGAAGTCCCCAAAGTAAAACATTATTTCTGCTCACATTTCACAGCCAAAGCAAATCACATGGACATTCCCAAATTCAACAGGATGAGAGTATTTCATTTGCAGGGAGGATCACTAATATTTGTGAACAATAGTACACTGCATATATGAGGTCAGAAAAAAACAGGAAAGATAAAAGAATTTTCATTGGAGTGAACATTTGAAAAACAAGAAATGTGAGTTTAAACATATATATTTTTAAAGAAAAATACAATATATACAGAGCTTCCCACACTCAACATCAGTCTCTTACACCTCCATCCTTTCCTTCGATATCAAGACATTCAATTTCTTCCGCGTTTATATGATCATTTGTATGCATGTTTTTGTGAATTACTTCATCTAATGTTTCCATAAACAACATATAATGGTATTTTATGTAGTTACCTTTTTTTAAGCTTTGAAAAGTTTTATAAAATTGCTCACATCTTCTTAAATTTTGGATATTCAAATATCCTTGCATATAAATACCATATTAAGTGCTATTTTATAATTTACACAAAATTAAAATAAAATTTCTTATGTAAAAAAAATATATTTTTTAATCTTACTCCATCACCCAGGCTAGAGTGCAATGATGCAATTTCAGCTCACTACAATCTCCTCCTCCGGGTTCAAATGGTTCTCCTGCCTCAGCCTCCCAAGTAGCTGGGACCACAGGCACGCACCGCCATGCCCAGCAATTTTTTTTGTATTTTTAGTAGAGACAGGGTCTCACTGTCTTGGCCAGGCTGGTCTCAAACTCTCAACTTCATGTTGATCCACCTGCATTGGCTTCCAAAAGTTCTGGGATTACAGGTGTGAGCCACTGTGCTTCACCTCTTTTTCCATTTCTAACTGATACCTTTTAAATGGATATAACCACCTCAAGTCTATTCGGGTCTCTTGCTCATGTTTTAATCAGGTTATTTGTTTTCTGATTATGAGTTTCTTATATATTTTAAATATTAACCCATTATCAGATACATGGTTTGCAAGTATTTTCTACCATTCCATGGGTGACCTTTTTATTTTATTTTTGTTTTATTGTGCAGCAACCTTTTAGTTTTCTGTAGTCTCATGTGTTTATTTTTGTTTGTTGCCTATACATTGGGATTCATATCCAAAAAATCATGCCAAGGTCAACCCCATGTATGATTTCCCCTGTTTTCTCCTAGGGATTCTTTGGTTTCAGATGCTATGTTTAAATTCCTTTTCAATTTTCAGTTTATTCCTGTGCATAGCATAACAGTCCAATGTCATTCTTTTGCATGTGGGCCTCCAGTTTTTGCAATGCTGTTTATCCTGTCTCCATTAGGTGTTTGGGCATGTTATTGAAGATTCTTTGACCGTGTAGGTTTATTTCTAGGGTTTATATTTTGTTCCATTCTTCTATGTGACTGTTTTCATGCCAGTATCATATATTTATATGTATCTATTTATATATGTGTCTATATATACACATATATAGCATATATATGTGTATATAAATGTATATTTAATTACTGTAGTTTTGAAATATAACTTGAAAGTAAGAACTGTAGTAACTCCTGCTTTTCTCTTCTCACTCAAGATCACTTTAGACAATTAAGGTCTTTTGTAATTTCATACAAATTTTAGGATTTATTTCTGCTTCTGTGAAAAATGCCGTTGAACTTTTGATAAGGATTACATTGAATCTGTAGACTGTTTTCTATAATAGCATTTTGACAATATTGATTTCTCCCATTGAATACAGAATATTGAACACAGAATATCTTTCAATTTCTATTATTTTTCTACTCTCTGTTTATTTTGCTTTGATCTTTCTTATTTTCTGTCTTATATTAACTTTGGGCCTGATTCACTCTTCTTTTTCACTGGTTCCTTGAGGTCTAATGATACATTGTTTATTTGAGGTCTTTCTTTTTTTTAATATACGTGTTTGTCATTATAAATTTTCTTCTTAGCACTGTCTTAATGCTTCCCACAAGTTTTGGTGTATTGTGTTTTCACTTTTGTATCAAGATTATTTTTATTTTCCTTTTCATTTCCTCTTTAAACCACTAGTTGTTAAGAATTGTGCTATGTTAACTTATTTTTGAATTTTCCAGTTTTTCTCCTGCTATTGACTTGTGGTTGTATACTATTGTGGTCAAAAAAGACACTTGATACAATTTCAATCTTCTTAAATGTATTAAGATATTTTTTGACTTAAAGTATGCTCTACTTTGGAGGATGTTTCTTGTTAGCTTGAGAAGAACACCTGTTTTCCTGTTACGGATGAAATGTGCACATACATCTGTTAGGTCCATTTGGTCTAAAGTGTAGATCAGGTCTAATTTTTTTTTTCCTTACAGATTATCTGTCTAAATGATCTATCCATTGTTGTAAGTGGAGCATTGATAATTGCAACAGTATCAATAGGGTTACCTATATCCCTAATATTATTGATTGCTGCATATCTCTCCCTCCAGATATTATTGTTTGCTTTATATTTTCAGGTGCTCCAATGTTAAGTGTGTATTTATTTATAATTGTTTCATTCCTTTAATCAACTCATCCCTTTATCATTATATAATGACCATCTTTATCTCTTCTTACAGCATTATCTTAAAGTATATTTTGTCTGATATAAAGATAGCTATCCATGTTTTTTTTTTTTTTTTGGTTTTAATTTGCATGGAATATCAAATTTTCTCATCTCCTACATTCACACCATATATGTCCTTGAAGCTGAAATGAGTCTCTTGTAGGCAGCATATTGTTGGGTCTTCCTTTGTAATCCATTCAGCCATTCTGACTTTTGACTATAGAATAGATTGAATTTATCTTCAAGGTAATTATTGATAGGTAAGAACATACAATTGTCATTTTGCTCATTGTGTTTTAGCTTTTTAACATATTACTTGTTACTTTATTTCTCCCTTGCTGTCTTTCTTTGAGATTTTATGATTTTCTGTAATGTCCTGCTTTGATTTCTGTTTATCTTTGGGTATCCAC